TAGAAGCGAAATGCCGACACGCTCGCCAGACGCCCACCGTTGAGCCGAAGCCTCCAGCCCGGCGGGGGAGGGGGGGGGGCGCGGCCGCGCGGCGAAGTCGCTCCGCTGTCGGCAGGCGCGCTGCAGCCTGCCTGCGGGCCCCCCCCTCGGAGATCACCCCCCGCGGCTCCTCCCCGTGCAGCACAACGGGGAGAGCTGATAAAGGCCGGCGCGTAGGAAAGAGTTATCTGCCCCCCCCCCAAAAAAAGGGGGGGGAACTCAAGGGAAGAAAGCGGTAGCCCCCGCAGAGCGCTCCTTAGGGGGCGGGATGCGGAGAGCAAGAGCTCGCCCTGCACGCTTCGCTCAAGAACCCATCCGCGCAGAGGGGGAGGGGAAAACAAAACAAACAAAAAAAAACCCCAAAACACACAAAAAAAAAAAAAGGAGAAAAAACCGCACTGTGCAAAACGTCAAATGAACGACACCCCGGACACCACCCCCGCACTTACACAAAGAGCCGAGCAGCCCGCACCGAGGCACACCACAGGAACGAGGACACCCCGAACTGCGGCAGCCCCCGCCGCACCGCCCCCTTTATAGCCGCCGCGGTCTCGCGAGGAGACGGGAGCCGCCGCCGCCACCGCCGCCCCTCCCCTCCCCGCCCGCCGCGGGCGGGGCGGCCGCTCGCTCGCAAGGGCAGCATGACTTGGCAGATTTGCGCCGATCGCCGGCGGCTTGGTCGATAGCGGGCTTTCGGTGGCTTATCTAACCGGGGACACTGCCCCGGGCTGCTGGAAGAAGCAAAAGAATTTGAATAAACGGAGCTAATTCTCTGGGTAGTGTCCTGGAGGTGCCATGGAAATGCCCAGTGTAATGGTTGCAAACAATTAACGGGGAGGATGATTCAGATGGCTTACTGCTAGAAGAAATTACTTTTTAATGCCTTAATATAACCAAGCTATAATTATTAGAAGTCATCAAAGAGGCAGAGGATACACAGGATTTTGAGGGAGAGTGAGACATCTAGGTGAATGGGAGTCGGCCATTGACTTCAAAAAAATCAGACCTTCTATTAACAAAGCAATATGCATGCACAGTATTACATAGGCGTGGGGTGAAATCTTCATCCTCTCGCTCTGCTTTACCAACTGGCTCTTCAACCTGATACTAATTCCCAAGGCTTTAATTGATTCTTCTCCATCAATGGGAAGGCTGATCTAAGTCATACAAGTCAGCAAAAAGAGCTGAAAAATAAATTTAAGTCTAACCTCTGAGCTTTGGGGGTAGGATGGAAACTCTTGGAAGACAAAAGTTACTCACTTCAGGGAGTTTTGCACCATTCCCAGAGTGAAGCTGCTCTGAAAGATGTTTAGCCTCAGTGAATCCTTACAAGCATTGTGTTTGGATCCGAGACTGAACTGAAGCAGTGTGGTACTTTTTGAGGACCAAACCCTGAATTTAAACATAAAAGCTTTATTAGATAATGAACACTAAAGGCCATTAAGGACATATCAATGACAAAACTGCTTGCTTTAGTCAAAAGTGATAAACATGTTTACCAACTGATTTTTACTGTCTGTTTTGCAGTTTCAGTTGCATTTCTTATACCTGTTAAAACTTGATTATAAATTTTAATGAGGAGAAAACCACAAAGGATTAACAAACTCTTAATGTTTATAATCTACATGACTGTGTAGTGTTGCTGGGTGACCATACCCATGTGGTGATTCACCCAAGAGATGACTAGTTTCAGACCCAGAAGAAATTACTCCTCAAGTAATAAAAGCAAAGTAACATGTATATATTTGCTCAGGAAGAAATCCGCACTCACCTTAATGCAAACAATTTATCTACTGCTGTTTCTATTGTTATAGCATGCTTAATCTTTTACAGAAAGACGTTTGTTAACTTTCTTAACATCAGTGTTGTGATGACAATTGAGGGCTATAAATTGAGACATGTACATACCTACCTATCAACTCAGGCCATAAACCTGTGAAAAGATTAACCCCTGAAAGGTGAGGCAGCCCTAATTAAAACCTCTAGAACAATGTAGTCTTACTGCAACTCTGGCATGTTTACCAATGGACAAAGCAGTAACAACTTTCTCATGGTTTCAGACTCCTTTAATGCTTGTTATGCTCATTTCTCACACTTTCAGGTGCATAATATACCCATTTTGCATGCAGCTTGTTCCAGGTTTGTGCCTTAAGCATTGCGTTTCCATTCATATGTCCACAGCCTCATTATTTCTGATTTGTTTCCGAGCTAGTCTTTCCAAACATCAGTTTCTGGAAGTTTTGGAGTGATAAATTGTCAGGGCTGCTCCTTGTTTAGTGAGCAGATGGGTTTTGTAGCCTTTTTCAATCTTTAGATGTAAGATGCTACAAAGATTTAAAAAAATTAAGTTCTCCAAGAAAGAAAGGGCATGTCTACCCAAGCAGGTGCTGGAAGGACAGGCTTCTCTCCATACCTTGCTTCTCCACACTCTGTTCTTCGTACAATGGATTAACCATGGCGTAGTGTTCTGCTAAAATAGCTGCCAGACGGGATCAGCTTGTACCTGACTAGCACGGAGCATCAGGAGCCCTAATGTAGGCCTCTTTGCATCCATCCATACAGATATGGCCACAGTAAGTAGTTTATGTATTAAGAAAGAGGAGCTGGCTGGCCCTGCAGTGCCAGAGCACTGAAACTACCCAAAGATTTCCAAATTGGTAGCCATGCCAGATTTTACATGTATCATTTTGATCACAGTATCTCCCATATATCTTGGCTGGGAATGGGTCCCTGATGTGAAAAACAAAACCCCCACTGTGTGTAAGAACAAAGGCAAAGAAATGGGCCCTATTTCAGAATACTACTGCACATTTGGGTTTCTACACATTTTGTCAGAAGAGAATTTGAGTATTTTATGTAAGTATATTCAGGACTTCTAGAGTGAGATGAACTCAGTTGGAACAGTAGTGTGAACTGGGCTTGGGCATTGCTGGGTGTGCACCTTGAGTGCATACACATCTGTTCTACAGCAGAGATGATCCATCATTGCACGTGTTTTGTAGAGCTGATCTCTGCACATGCAGAAAGCCCACTGAATCCTGAATATACTGAACTTACTGTATACACATGGTACCATCAGAGGCACAATAAGAGTAAAATGCTGGCCATGTGGGGACATTTTAATATAATATATGCAAAAAGTCAACTGAAAAGTCAACAGCTGACATGTTCCCAAGCCGTGGGGTATTTATGCACAAGCAGCTGGTGCACAATAGTTTGAATGAAAACAATTACATATCATTAAATATACAATGCACGTATTTGCTTTCCTTGTTTTGCTCAAGTGAAGACTGTATTTCTAGGTCAAAATGTCTTGCATTACCTCTTTCTTCTCTACATATATGCATTTTTTTTTACTTAACGAACTTCATTACTGTGTGTGGCTTATCACTGCCTTTTGATGACAAAATGTTTTAGTCTTCTTTGCCTTTTCTCTTTTACTCCCTATTACATTATTGGAGGCTGAGGTTTCTTAAGTTTTCATGTGTGATATTAATACAATTCAAGCATCTTCTATTGCATTAAGACTGCATTTTCAAATGGATTTGTGATTGGCATGGTTTCCATAAAAATAGATCAAACCCAGCAGTGATTCCTCCCCCTTTATTCTTTCCTCTTCTCAATTTTCTATTTCCTGTTATTTTTGATTGTCTTCTCTTGTCCTTGCACTCTCTTTCCACTTTTCCTGTATTTTGTTGAAAAAGGCTGCGCAAGAGAAAAGTCTGGTCATGTGAATGCCCAAGAGATTAATTAACCTTTGTGCCTTTAAGCCTCCTGAGCAGTTCAAGTCAGAACAGCAAAGACAGAATTTGCAGCAGAATTACCTTCCTGGAAATAAATAACAGCCTCTTCAAAGCCATGTTGGATATACATTTTGCCTTATTTCTGATCTAATCTTACTATTTTCAAATTCTGAATGTTTATAAATTACTTACAAAAATGGAAACCCGGAGTAAAAGTCAAAACTAGTTATTATTTTTTTTTAGTTGTGTATAAGATTAGGTGTACAGTCTTCTCTCAGTTATGGGCCAAAGTCTGCTCCTGTTGAAGGTTCTATCTTGGATTACAACAGCAAGACTGTACCCACCCACAAGTAGCACTCTGCTAAAATCAGGCTGCTTTAATCTCACTTTCAGTCTTCTTGCACAAATAAGGAAATGCATTCTTGTGCACCTGCAACAAAAGGAGCCTTAGTCCTCTCAGGAAGTATCATTTCTTTCTCTTTATGCACCTTTTAGCAAAAAAGCTGAAGCAAAGCGAGTGTGACGGGCTGTGGACTTTCCCTGGGTTCCTATTATTTAGGGCTGCAAATAAAACCGGGGAAATTCTTCCTACCAGTAAAAAGAGCTTCAAGAGGCCAAGACAAATAGCAGACGAGGAGACTTTTATGTAAATGCACACGCTTCGTGTAGTCATTATCTGTTCGGCTTGCATTTTGTAGTTTCCCTCCCTGTGATGCGGCCCATCAGATTTATCACTTAAGCACTCGGCTGTAATGGTGGAGTCTGGGTCGTCTGAATTTCCTGATGGGAAGAGAACCGAGAAAAGGAAGCTAAACCGGCGCAAACCCGGCAGCAGGTCGGTGCGGAGGGCGCAGCAGCCCTGCAGCCCCCCACGGCGTTACGTCCGCCGAAGTTCAAACAACGTGCCGGGAGGGAAAACCTGCAGAGGCCCGGCCACGGTGAAGGGCCACAAAGAGCCCGGCTCCTCCAGCCCCTGCAGAAACGCTCCTTGCTAGATTTCTGATGTTTATTTTTCTCGGAAGGGACTACCCCGCGCTGTTCCAGCTGGGTCACGGACGCTTCGCGCAGCAGAGCCGCCGCCGCGGGTCCAGCGCGGAGGGAGGGCTGCGAACCGCGGCCAAAACCAGGGCAGGGCAGGGCAG